TTACCAGCTGTGAAAAGAAATATCTCCTCAATAAGGCAACTAGTACTGATCTGTAACGCTTCTGAGACAGCAGTACAATAAAGGTTTTTTAAGGTGGACATGAGAAGTATCAAATTGCTTGACACATAAACGCTGATGGGAGGTCCTGGTTCTGGTGGATGAAGGTTGTATGGGCTTATATAATTACCCATGATAACTTTCTAGTAGCTGTTTTAGTAAAGGTTCTAGTGCAAGGAATTGACAAGCCTTTTCCTTTTCCCACCACTGTAAAAGATTTCATTGGATAGGTAGATACTATAAAGGCACTATAGTTTTAGATCAAACTTTGCTAATACATTTTCTGCTCTTGTCTCACTGAGTTACGTGGTGCCTACACCCAAACAAATCTAAAATTGTAGCCTTATCAGGATTGGGCCATTCTGTCCAGTTACCAACTATAGTTATAAAATATATTGTTATTCTTATTGTTTACTTTAGTTCATTTTTACTGACAGGTGGCATGGTGACCAAAAATCATTTATAGACATCGTGATGAAAATGTATTTGAACCACTGGTGGCCATGTGGCCATCTTGACTTAAGTAATGGAAGTGCAGAAGATCCAGAGGGAAATTGAAAAGGGAGTTAATGGGATTAAATGGTAATATTTGAACAAGGAAAGAGTCCTTTTTCGTTCTCTTGATTGTTTCCCTCTTTTTCCAGGTCAGTCAGAAGAAGTTCCAAAGTTGAAAATGCCAATTGAATGCGTTTAGAGTACTTGTAAATGGCTGCAAGGAGAGCGGTGCTCTTTAAAATATAATGCTGGTTATCTCACAGCAGGTTTGCTGGAAAAGGGATTTGTGGTTTTGCTTTAGGCTGTTGTCTTCCAGGCAGGCTTTTCAGGTTTGCAGCTGTAGCATGGCATTTAGTGTCGCTCTTGAGTTTAATTGATGATAAGTGGCATTATATGCTCCGCAAAACCCTGAAAAGATTGTACTTTCCTCTCCGCTTTAACTCAGGCGCACATAATTTTTGCCATAAGAACAGAGAGCTATTTATATGGCTCAAGATACAGACGTGAGAAAAGTGCTTGCTAGCTTTTCGGAAACACATGCATTTGGTTTCTGTTTCTTTCTTTGCACGGATTTATGGCTATCGCTGTGCATTGAAAACTTGGAAATTCTGGCCATTAGGCTTAAAATAATAATCTTAATATTAGTCAAGTGGCATTTCCCTGCTGCCCTTTATTAAAGGTTTTCAGAAAGTCTCCATTTCAGTTCTTTTCAGTAAGAGGTATTTTCCTGGACTCAATTAGATTGGGGAGACACAGCATATTAATTTTATTTAGTCAAAATCCAGTGTAGGCCTGTTGAAGGGATTAATTTGAGGAACTCCCCAAATATGAAGTTCATATGATTTCACTAACCCAGCAAATATAGAACTGTCCAGGTTTAAAAGCACTTTTATCATCAATGCATCATAGCTCTGATTTCTGTCGCAGACTGTGTACTAGACAGAGTAGGAGTGTGAGCAAATTTTGTTTATTTTTTATTGTAGTTTTCCAGAATTCACAATGACATAATTTGGAAAGGAAAGGTTTTAATTAAAAACAAACAAACAAACACATAAACTGATAGACTTACCCTTCCAAGTAGAAGGCTTTGAGTTCTTAGAATCTTTATGTTCCTTGTGGTTGAATTTGGGTTGCCATTTTTTTTCTCTGTTAGACTTCTAACCTTTAGACAATTATGGGCAAGTACAACACAATCTTCTGTCTGTTGAGACCACCTGTGCTCACTGAATTAATCCTGTACAGATGGCTGAGAATCTCCTGTTTGTTGTACAGTTTTACCAAAATATTAACATTTCTTGAAATATTCAGTACAAAAAACAAGGCATGTAAGCATTCAAATGGGAAAGAAAGCAAAACTTAGCTAATCTATCCATTTGTTTTGTACAGAATTCTACACTTGGTGTGCACTTATTAATCTACATAGGACACCAAAAAGCACTGCCCCCTAATCATTATTTGTGCCTGAGCTTTGCAGGGTGAACTTTTTCATGGAGAGTGGTGCGTCTTCCAAACAAAGCTTTTTCTTCCTTACTGATGAAGAATCCTTGTTCATCTTTCTTTACTTATCTTTTATAGATGCAAAGTCAAGACCAATTAACTATGCAAAACAAAGCAAATTATTATGACCTAACTAGTCACACAGAATAAGAATTAATGATTTCAAAAACCATCATAGCCCTGAAGAACAGCAAAACCGGAGAGGTGAAGGCTTCTCTCCTGGACCTTTGCCCTTCCCAGCTTAAAAAGCTGCCAAAGAGGGACTGGCTGAGAGGGCAGTGAATGCCTCCTTGCATCAGGGTAGCATCCCAGCTTGCTTAAAGGAGGCAGTAATAAAGCCATAATTGAAAAAGCCCTCCTTAGACCCACAATACTGGATAATTACCAGCCAATCTCTAATGTCCCATTATTAGGAAAGGTGCTGGAGGGATTCCTGGATGAGACAGATGATCTAGATCAATTTCAATCTCCTGTTTGAACACCCTGGCCATAGACCTGCGGTGTCCCTCAGGGAACTGCTTTGCCCCCTATGCTATTTAACACCTACATGAAACCACTGGGAGAGGTTGTCCAGAGTTTTGGGGTTCAGTATCACCAGTATGCTGGTGACACCCAACTCTGTCCCTCCTTTCCATCTAAATCAAGGGAGTTGTTTCAGTTTTAAATTAGTGTCTGGTGTTGGTAATGGAGTGGATGAGGGCAAATAAACGGAAAACGAATCCAGAAAAGACAGAGGTGCTCCTGGTCAGTTGAAAAGCAGATCAAGGAATAGGGTTGCAGCCTGTGCTGGATGAGATTACTCTCCCTTTGAAAGCACACGTGCGCAGCTTGGTGGGGAGGTGCTCCTGGATTCATCTCTGAGCCTGGACGCCCAGGTTTTGGTGGTGGCCAGGAGTGCCTTAGTACAGCTAAAACTACTGAGCCAGCAGTGCCCATTTTTTGAGAGGGCTGATCTGACCATGGTGACACATGCCCTAGTTACATCTCAGCTGGATTACTGTAACATGCTCTGTGTGGGGCTACCTTTGGAAGGTGTTCATAAACTCCAGAGGGTCCAAAATGCAGCAGCCAGATTGCTGACTAGGCTGGATCATGTGAAACCCCACCCCCACCCCCATTACAACAGCTCCACTGGCTGCCAATCTGTTTCCAGACACAAAATTGAGAGCGCTGGTCTTAACTTATAAAGCCCTAAATGGCTTGGATTCAAGCTGTCTAAAAGACTGCATCTTCCTCTATGAGCCTGCCCAGGCATTAAGATCATCAGGGGAGGCATTTCTCTCAGTCCCACGACCCTCACAGGTGTGCTTGATGGGGACATGGGAGAGAATCTTATCTGTCACCGTTCCCAGACTCTGGAACTCCCTCCCACAGGATGCCAGACTGGCCCCATCTTTGCTGTCCTTCCGCAGGCAGGCAAATACTTTTCTCTTCAGGCAGGTTTTTCCTTGATGACTGGTGGCCTGTGAGGGGTTTTAAAATTAATTGATGCACTCTGTTGGTTTAAACATATTTTAATTTTGATCTTATTACTGTTTTTAATGTAATACTTGTTCAATTCTTTTTTAATATTTGCATACCTACTGTTTTTAACTTTTAAATATTGTCTTTTTAATGATGCAAGCCACCTTGAGTTCTTTTTAAGGAGAAAGGCAGGAATTTTTTAAAAATAAAATAAAATAAAATAAAAATTAGAACAGGCTAACAGGCCTACCTAAAGTAAATTACAAGCAAAATGAAAAACATTTTGACCAGCCCCTCAAAAACAAACAAACAACAGCAACAAAACTTGAAAAAAAGACTTTGGTGTTGGTACCATTCAGACTCTTTAGGAAAGGCATTTCAGTTGGTGCCCTGCTGTTCTGAAGAAAGCTGTCTCCTTTGTGATCACTCTACAGACTTCCTCTGTAAAAGAATTTGAAGAGAAATATCTTCCGAAGGGCTCAAGGCAGTCTTATACAGTAATTGCCTCAAATGCAAGTGAAGTGATTCACTTTCATTGTGGCTAGGAAAACCTTGTGAACACAAAATTAGAAGATACCCCTACTATATTTCCATCTTCTTTCTGATGGTGTTTTTTTGGTTTTCAAAAATGAGGGATGCCAGGATACTAGATAACTTGAAATCTGCATTACCTCATAGAAATTGGGAGCTGAAGAACAATGTAGCTCACTGGAAGTTGAGGTCATGGAATGCAAAACCTAGTTTTATGATTGTTTTGATTCAACAATTGTTTTGATGTGAACCAAGATTTGGTTCATCTTGAGTATGTGAAGTCAAAAGGCACCCTGCCAACTTCCTCCCCTCCCCCTCCTTGTTATTATTATTATTATAGTGTAAGAAATGTTTTAATGCTTGCCACAGATACTACAGCTGTCATAGAAAATGGCCATTGTTCTTTAGTATTAAAATCATGTATTCCAGATGTGGGCATTTGTTAGTCAGTTTGCTGTAAAATGACATACTGCTGAATCTTTAAAGGGCTTCAGTTTGGGAAAGCAAAATATGATTGGGCAAATTGCTAAAATATTTAAAGCGCAGCCTGTTAAAGCTTTTACTTCGAAGACCGTCACGTCAGAACTTATATGTAGTAAAAGCAAGCAATTGGCTTTCTATCCTCATGCTAGTCATTCAGCATGGGGGTTCATACCTACCCCTTCCACTTCACTGCAGATGCTAAAAGAGACACTTGTGAAGCTTATCTGGGGAAAATGAGGAAGGAAGAGAGGGCAAAAACATTTATGCATTTTCAGGTGATGACTAAACATTGCTGTTAATAGAAGATTATTGTGAGATTGTTCCTTTTTTCTCTGTCTTTCAGTGTTCCTTGTTGAAAGCTAATTTCATCTCTTCATTAGCCTTCTGAAAGGAGGTGTGTCAAAATGTATTACATACACTGCTCCTTGTTCAGAGTTCCATTGGTGTTAACCTTGATGTATTTTCTTCCTTAGACATGACCCCTTATTAATACCTGGAAATGAGCAAGTTGACAACATGGACTGCAATGTGAAAAGATACGATTCCACGGGAATGTTTCATTGGTGTCCAGCCAAGGAGATAGATAAAGTTATTTTGGTGAGTATGTGGAAGGAACACCTGCTAGATTACATCATGCAATCAAACTATACTGTCCTGCATTTGTTATACTTTTTTTTGTTCATTATTTTCTTTATATGCAGTTACGTGCTTAATTAACCAAAGGATGAAAAATCCATGATGTGTGGTAATAGTTCCACAATGGATGTGCTAATTTTTGAGGGTTTTTTGTTTTTTTATTTTGTTTTGGTGTGTTTTTTGTGAGTGTGTGCCATGTCTATATACTATGGCCAGGGCACCTGTTCTGGCATCACAGTCAACCTCTTATGGTACCTGATGCCATAATCTTCCATATGTTAGGCAGAACTTAGATGCAAAGACATGAGAGCACTAAGTCCTCATGGAAAACCAGATAACTATACTAGTAATGCTGAGGAGGTAAAACATATTTATACATTATCTGTGGGCATTAGGTTTTTTTTAAATAAACATTTTATTGGTTTTTCAATCTATCTACATTGTTTTGTGCTTGTCAAACATCGTGTTACATGTTTTGCTTCCAATTATTTGTTTTTTACATCTCAGTGTCTTCCCGCTTATCCCCCCAAATTCCAAACATCTTTCAAACATTCAAACCATTCATATACAAATTTTAGTATATAATATGACTACCATCTTAATATTTCATATTATATAAAATTCTCAAGGTCTTCTAATAACATTCTTATTGAAAGTGGTTCCTAGGCTCCATGCCAAAAGACTTCAGGTAGTCAAAACAGAGTCCAGATTTATCAAGTATAACTCACAGGAAAGTTTCTCAAGCTTCACAGCACCAAACTGTAATATTTTTAAAATGTATTTTCAAAAGTTATTTCCTTTCCATCAGCTATCCCTCTCACCAGATTTTTTGCCGCTTTATAGTTTCTGAGATGAGATAGCAATTCTTTTTTTCCATATATAGGAATTATTTCCTCCAGGGGTATAAGCAATTAGTTATAAAAATCTCACCGATGGTAAACAACGATGCCAGATGCTGATTGTTGCTTCTTAGCCGGCTGCCGATGACTCGCAAGCGAGCCGAGTCTGCTTGTTTCTGCCCGTTGGCTGATTAGGGAGTTTCCTGGATTGAATGGGGGTGGCCGCTGCCGCCCCCCCTGATCAACAGGCTTCCCCCCCCCAGTTCACCACCCCTCCAGGGTGGTTTCAACACCCTATGGTGTCCCAAACAAGGTCAGAATTCAGCCCGGGGGACAGAGCTCTATCCTCCTGCTGCTGTCTCGTCGCCACGTCAAGCCGGAAGTCTGGGCATTAGGTTTTTTGATAAGTCCATGCAACTATTTTTTTTTTTTTTGGAAAATCCATAGGATGAAGAAGTCATGTATGTATGTCCATTAAAATAGATACATCATAAGCAGGCCATTAAAATGATTAAATAGCCTTCAAAGTATTAACATCAAAATCAAACATTCTGTGTGTAATTTATGAGTTACTTCATTTACCTATAGTTAATCTGATTAATACTGCAGCCATGAATATAATAAACTTTACTGTTATACACAGAAATATTTATGAGTGGCCTTTGGACTGAACATTTTTTGCTGATAGTTAAAAAAAGTTTTCCTGTGGAGTTTACAATTCTGTGCCACATCGTCATACCCTGTGTCATAATGTGTATTTCTTTGCCCCTTCCCATAGGCCATTGTCTGACATTTGAGGGTGTTACTACGTAACAACATAGTGCTGCCTTTTTTGTCAGCTGCCCTATGTCTCCTGTATCTTAACATTCTTCCCTCAGAAAATCAGATGTGTGAAGCCAACATCCATGTATCACCCTCTTTATTTTAGTCTCTCTCTATCTTCTTTTTATTCCTTTTGGGACCGGCCATCATACTGACTCAACTAATTAAATATAATTAGAAGGCCTCTCCTAGTTTGTTAGGTTCAGTGCATGTTTGTGCCATTTATGTTCGTGTGCTTGCATCAAAGAGGAGAATCTGCACATCTTATAGATAAAACTGATGATATGTGAAGTGAAATCTCTGGTGGGTCCTCACTTTGTTGTAGTTGCAGCAAGTGTCCCTCCCCCAGTGTCTGCTTTCTCCAGATTTCCCTGCACTATTCAACAGTGCAACCAATAATGGTGGCAGCTCTGGTTTACTCTTAACGATTGTGAGACAAAACCATGTTCCTCAGAATCCTTGGGGAGTTTGTATAATAACCATGACATTGTCTGGAATTGCAGTATTGGCATTTAAACAATCAATAAAGCAGTCAGTTCCACAGGGTAAACTGTTATGAATTTGATTTGAAACTGTTTGAATTGATATGTATTTCACAGTGTTGTTCATTAGACCACCAGAGACAACTTCCCCATACGTAGTTAAATAACTGAGGGCGACAGATGTCAGCTAGAATATTTTAAATGTGTTTCAAACAGATATGACGCTAATGACCTTAATGTTCCACTTCAAAAAGTTTGCATGTTTAAAAAATGACATTGGGGTGTCCTCCTTGTCTAGTTGTGACTTAATGTTCATTTACTCCATTTGCTCAAGGAAAGTGTGTGTGTGTGTTTCTGTGTATGTGGCCTTTTTCGTAGCGACTGTACAAACTGTAGCTTAAGATCAGTTAAACATAGTCAACCTCCATGTTGTCAAGCATTTCTGTAAGCAGAATGGCAACTTAGGCAAGACATAGGCAATTCTGAAATCATACGGGTGAATACCACAGGTTTTGATGGTTCTATCATGCCACACTGAAATCTCCTTAACAATTACCATATGTCTCTAGCTTTAATTATTTCTATTTAATTCCATGGCTGATTCAAGTCTGCCTGTTTCCTTCTGGATCTGCTTATCTGCTTTCTTGTGTGAGGGGTTTAACCATTAAATACAATGGTGGTATACAGGGTTGAGTTGCATGACATCAAAACTATACTTCATTTGGCAACAAATCTTGTCAAGCTCTAGTGGAAGAGTGCGCAATTCTGAGAAGAGACATATACTAAGTGGACCAGTTCCTCATATACTTAGGGTTTTATTATTATAAAATCAGAATCCCATTGACAAGTACATTTGTGTAACAGGAACTGCATAAGTTTTGGCAGCAAATTACTGCTTGTTAATGAGTTGATGTTGCATTCCTGGACATATCCCTAATTAAGCAATCATGTGTGCAACATGACAACCAGCACACCATTAATTAGCAGAAATTGGCCCCCTCAATTTCCCTTACTCAAACATAAATGACCAACAAGATTTTGCCCTTTGTTTCAAGGTGTTACAATACCTCCCCTTTAAAAACAAGGAAAAACCTTAAAAAAAACCCTCCTGCAATTAGGAGGACCCTAGGTGTGTGGGTAGGGGGACGTGGTGGCACTGCAACTTAAACCACCGAAGCCTCTGTGCTGCAAGGTCAGAAGACCAGCAGTCGTAAGATTGAATCTACGCGACAGAGTGAGCTCCTGTCGCTTGTCCCAGCTCCTGCTAACTAGCAGTTCAAAAGCATGTAAATGCGAGTAGATAAATAGGTACCACCACGGTGGGAAGGTAACAGCTTTCCGTGTCTAGTCGCACTGGCCACGTGACCACGGAAACTGTCTATGGACAAACGCTGGCTCTAGGGCTTGGAGACAAGGATGAGCGCTGCCCCCTGGAATCAGACACGACTGGACTAAATGTCAGGGGAAACCTTTACCTAAGTATGTGGGTGGGTGTGCATATGCACATGAATTTGCTTGCATGTATACACCTATTTCCACTCTCCCCTATATACCATTTAATAGAATTCCGCCCAGAATCTTTTCCAAATTGCTGTTAAGATTGCTGTGATGGTGGTGGTTTCATACAGCACCATAAATGTCATTGTTTCTTACACAATTTCTGGAAATTAACGGCAGTTGGAGGAAGAAGGTCACTGTGCCCCAAAAGCTTACAATGTAAAAGAGACACGAGGGAAGACAGCAGAGGGACAGACAAGAATTAAAATGAAAGTTGATGGCATTTGATTGCAGAGAACATGTAATTTCAAATAGATACAACTTGGCTACCCTTTGGAAGGAGGGTTGTGACATTAAACCACAACCTCACAGAAGTTTTGAAGAAAGATTTTTAGAGAGAGGGAGGGAGCACTGTGTGCACATCCAGGTCAAGGGTACCACACATGGAAGGCAGTGACATAGATGGTTTATGACCAGAAAAAGGGGGGCACCCCACCCTGAAATTCCCAGGTCATGAGCTGGCTCAGGACAGAAGAAAAGAAAAGGTGGTTTTATTGCAAGGGAAAGGAGGGGCTTCCTATAGGAAAGAAGAGGGCAGGTAAAAGAGAGAGTGACTTGTTATTTGTCAGATGGACCTATTCTGTGAGTGTATGTGTGTTGTTGAGTATAGAATTAATTTATATATGAAGAAACTATTAGTGCAGAGCTTTTCCTGGCTTGTCCAATAATGGAAAGTATTTTCTATGCTATTTTGCTGATGATTACTGAGATTGAGCTATCATCAAGTGCCCAAAAGGCTGTCGTACAGAGAAGGGGCAGGATCAATTCTTAATCATTCCCGAGTGCACCGTGCATAATAATGGGCTAAAGTTACAAGAAACCAGATCTTGGTTCATAATGGGCTCAAGTTACAAGAAACCAGATCTTGGTTAAATATCAGGAAAAGCTGATTAACTGTTAGAGCAGTATGACAATGGAATAAATTACCTTGTGAGGTGGTGAGTGCTCCAACACTGGAGGCTTTCAAGAGAAATTTAGACAACCATCTATCAGATATTCTTTGATTTGGATTCATGCACTGGACAGCGGGGTTGGTCTCCATGTCCTTATAGGCCCCTTTGAACTCCATTATTCCAGGAGTCTGTGATTTATCGAGCTTGCTCTGCATGTCTACCTGCAGTGCAAATATGCAGACGACATGTAAGTGTGGGTGGCACACACACATTCATTAGCTCATTGTTCCTTTTTACAGAAAGGAGACTTAGGCATCCTTTGTCATTCTTTGTTCCTTGCCCCACAGCCTATGCCATTTGTGGAGGGGGAAAACAGGCAATAACAGAGATCAATGTACAACAGCAACGCTCCATCATTTCCCATAGAATCTAAGATTATGAGCAATAAACCATACATTAAACCCACAACAATTCATAAGAGTTACATTAAGGCTGATTTAGACATTTCCTGTCTGTCAAGGGATTACTTTCTGTGAACGAGTCTATCTGAATATCCTTGAAAATCAAGTTTAGTGTATCAGATGTTATGTCTCCTTCCCCCATGCCTCACATGGATAGTGTGACAAACTTTATTAATGGGATACTAAATGTGTAATACCTAGATCTGTTTCAAGTATCAGGCTTGTATTACACAGTCTTGCCAACTGTGCTGGATACTCCTTGACCAAGAACAATGTTGGTCCATCTCTTCTATCCTGATTGCCTTCAGTTTTTGAATGTGCTACCAATAGTTAGTATCACTAAGATAAACTGCAAGAAACTACTGACATTATCATATCTCTGTGTGCACATTCAGGTTTTACTTGACATGCTTTTTCCTTAGAAATAACTTCTCTGCATTGCTGTCCTGCCTTGAATTTGTTTTGCTTTTCTAGACTCGAAGTGAAGCAGCCATGACAGTGTTAAGTGGCCATGTGGTTGTCTGCATTTTTGGAGATGTGACATCAGCACTGATTGGATTAAGAAATTTTGTGATGCCATTAAGAGCCAGCAACTTCCACTACCACGAGCTCAAGCACATTGTGTTTGTGGGCTCCCTTGAATACCTGAGGAGGGAATGGGAAACAATGCATAACTTCCCCAAAGTCTCAATCTTGCCTGTAAGTCTAATGCCACCCACTTTTCTTTCTTTCTTTCTTTCTTTCTTTCTTTCTTTCTTTCTTTCT